CCCCCCTGTCTCACTACTGTTGTCAATTTTCTGTCACCCCCCTCTCTCTCACTCTGTGTGTGTGTGTGTGTGTATGTCTGTCTGTCTGTCTATCTGCCTGTTTGTCTCACTACTATCCTCGACTCTGTTCAATCTCTTTTAAATTACTTTTACTTTTGTACATGTACTTCTGATACTTTTGTCTTTTAATTTTTTTCTCTGCACCCCTCCCCCCCCTCTCTCTCTCTCTCTCTCTCTCTCTCTCTCTCTCTCTCTCTCTCTCTCTCTCTCTCTCCATCTTTTTCTCTGTCTCTCTCACTTTCTCCCTCTTTTTCTCTTTCTATTTCTTTTTCTTTCGCTATCTATCTATCTATCTATCTATCTATCTATCTATCTATCTATCTATCTATCTAAAATTCTTTCGCTCTCTTCATCTAAGACACACACCCTTTATTTCGTCGCTTTTTCCATTCTACTTTCCCCACCACGCGCGTAGATGAACGAACATATTATTGTCACAAACATTGAAGCCCCTACAGCTCAAGACACCACCCAGCATTTGAGCCAAAGGAAACCCAAGACGACGGTAGAACGACAACATAAGCTGTGGCAAACAACTCAAGGGCCGCCATGTCTCCCTTCCAAGTTCCTCGCCAGGCTGCAGACAGTCGCCCAGATCTACCACCCACACATCTCTCTCGGACATTGCTTATTAAATGGTAAATTAAGCACACATTGTCTTTGTCTCTCTCTCTCTCTCTCTTTCTTTCTCTCTCTCTCTCTTCCTCTCTCTCTCTCTCTCTCTCTCTCTCTCTCTCTCTCTCTCTCGCTCTTCCTCTCTCTCCCTCTCTCTCTCGCTCTTCCTCTCTCTCTTTTCTATGTGATTCCATATTCCTCTCTTTTTTATGCGATTCCATATTCCTCTCTTTTTTATGCGATTCCATCTATGTCTGCGTACGTGGATATAGAAATATAACAAACTAATTTCGAGTATTTCTCTTCCTCATCATCATGTGCCGAACATGTGGCACACATCGGCAATTCTTGTTCTCCATTAGATTCGAATTCCTTTGCTCTTGAAAAAGTTACTTCACCCTGATCTTTCCCCGTTACCCATTTGTTTAGGTTCTCTAAGTAGTTTGCTCTGGGCTTACCTGTGCCTCTTTTGCCTTCATTTTCGCCCTTGAGAGCTAGATGTTCAAAACCTTTACGTTGAAATGTCCAAAAAAACTGCATTTGTCGTTCCCTAATTGTTTTTTAAATTTAGTATCCCTCGTGGGCTTCATCAAGTACTGCATCATTTGATTTCTTTTCCTTCCTCGAATTTTCTCATTCTTTCCCCTATTAGTGCTCACAGCAATATTTTTGTTAAATGATTCATGAGGCTTATTGTTCTATGCATATCACACCCAGTGGCACCAGATGTTTTAGGTAACGCTATAAAAACTGACTTCATTTTACCTTCTTGATTTTTACCGCTGTTATACATAGAACTTAAGAGCTTTGTTATTTCAGTGCCTAGTTCTTCAAACGTGACAATCACTTCAACTTGGATTTATTTTTGGCCCTGTGGCTTTTCCTTGTTTAATTTTTCTAATGGTAGATTGTACTTTTGCTATCAGTATTGGTGGTCCACTTATTTCTTTCTTTATTACCCGTTTTTCGCCTCTATTATATTTGAGGAGTTCTTTTATGTATTCTGGCCATCTGTTTAAGACATCCCCTTTGTCCATTAAAGTATCTAATTCTTTTGATTTTGTGCACCCTGTATTTGAGCATCCTTTTATCCCATTTACATCTTTAATTTTAGAGTGCATGAATTAGCTGTCTGTGTTTCGATTCTTCTCTATTTGTTTACACTGATCGTTTATACATGTTCTCTTGCTGCATTTTTTGTTTATTTCCCTATTTAATATGTTTACTTTTCCACATTTGCTTTTGGCGGTCTTCTCTCTCTCTCTCTCTCTCTCTCTCTCTCTCTCTCTCTCTCTCTCTCTCTCTC